CAGAACAATGGGATCATAAAATTTTTCATCAGATAAAATGATTTTTAATTAATTAATTTGTTTACTTTACATCCTGACTAAATGATTTTTAAATATGGTTAAATTTTTTTAAACATACTCATTATTTTAGTTTGTTGACTTTGTGATGACAGATATCCTATTTGTTGTTTAATTGGTTTTCTTTATGTTTGTTTGTTGTTTGTTTTTTGTTTTTGTTTTTGTTTTGAGACATGGTTTCTCTGTGTAGTCCTGGCTATTCTGGAACTTACTGTCTAGGCCAGGCCGGCCTTGAACTCACAGAGATCCACATGCTTCTGCCTCCAGAGCATTGAGATTAAAGGTGTACGCCACTCCTGCCTGCCTGGCAGTCATGTTTTTTATATACTGGTTTGGTTTACTGTATTTCTGAGAGGATAACTACTCCTTTGCTAGGCAGGGTTGGTGCATGCCTTTAATCTAGCTCTTGGGAGGCAGAGGCTACCCTAGTCTACAGAGCCAGTTCTTGGACAGCCAGGGCAAAGGACATGCTTTAACCCAGCACAGTGGACTCAGATAGAACAGCCTTCAGTACAGCCTTACTACAGTCCAGTTTGAGGTGGGTTTAGTTAGCCGTGGCTGTATATCAGCTTTACAAAATAGATTATAAAATACCTAGAGCCTGTGAGCCCATGGATCTTGGCATACCGCTTTGGCGTCTATGTAATTGAAAAGCTTTGCAGATGATTGTGCAGTGCAGCCGGAGTAGCTGCTCTGCATGTCGGTTTCCGACTTGAAACAGGGTTTTATTGATGTCCTGCAATTTATTTTTTAAAATAATTGTCAAGTCTTTTGTTTATTAGGAATTTTAGGGTGAGGTCTTTGACAAGGTCATTGTGGTGTCCCATTAAATGGAACATTTCTTTTCTGAAAGATCTGGTTAAAGACTGACAGTGAGTGGAATGCACATATATTATTCATTCATAGCCCTTCCTAGACACAGATAGATGGGGAACCTTAGGGGAACACTTTCTTTAGTAAAAGGGGAAAGGGAAAAATATATACAAGAAAATCTTGTGTAAAACTTACTCTGCAGAATAAAGTTAATTTAACAGTTAATATGATTGTAGAAAATAGGAAAATTGAAAGAAATAAAGCATAACTCCGCTACCCATTATTCTGTATTGTTTTTCGAGACAGAGTTTCTCTGTTTTAGGTCTGGCTGTCCTGGACTCTCTTTGTAGAACCTATAGAACCAGGCTGTCCTTGAACTCTGCCTCCCTACTTCGGGGATTAAAGCCATGCACTACCACACTTGGCTCTTAATTATTTTTATTTCATGTGAATGGATGCTTTTTCAAAAGATATGTCTGTGCATTACTTATTTTCTTGGTGCGTAAGGAGCCTAAGAGGGTTTCGGATCTCCTGGGGATGGAGCTATATTGAGCAGTCATGTGGGTTCTGGGAATTGACCCGAGTCCTCTGGGTGGACAGTCAGTGTTCCTATGAGCCATCCATCTCTCTTGCCTCTCTTCTGGCATTTTAAATATATAAAAATAAATAACCTAAAACACATAAAGAATTCCTTCTTGACATATGGACACTTTTTAAGCACTCATATCTGTTTTCTTTTCTCATGAACACTACAATTTATTATAATAAAATAAATTTATTAAATGTTATGTCTCTAAAGATAATTGGGACTTAGAACTTCTATCAATAGCCTATTTTTTTTTTTTTTTTTCCTAATGGTTGGGGATGAGAACTATAGAGATTACAGTTGTTTACCTTTTTTTTCTGGTTGCTTTGTCTATTTTAATGTCTATGCATAAATAAACCAGATATCAAATATTTTTGTTACCCTTTGAAAACAAGTAAAGATATCACAATGTTTTATAGGTTAACATTTTGGAGCATGGCTGAGTTTAGAATAAGAACATCTTTTTTTATGTCAATAATACCTTAATCATATCTAGAAAAATGAATGTTTCATAATGCCGTGAAATAACCAAATTTACATATTCTTATTTGTTCCTGAAATAACTATACTGTTTTTTTCAAACAATCTAGTCAGGTACCTTGAACATGACTGTAATCAAGCCTGCATTTTCTTGTACCGGATACCAACTTTGACAAGCCTTAGCCAGCTTTCCTGTAATCCAGCCTACTTCTTAGATTTGTGTGATTGTTTTCTCAGAGGTCCTTTAGCTTAATCTTCATCCCTGTTTTCTGGTACATAGGGAATCAGTGCTATTTGGTTCCTATTACACATTTTGGAAAGAATGCATGCCGTGACTCATTTATGATGGTGTACATAAAGGGGACGTGTATGTTAGGCTGCCATGACGGTAAAGGGCATGTATGTAGAAAGCCATCATGATGGTGCATGTGAGGGAGTATTTGTAGGCCTGTCATGATTGTGCACTTGAAGGCACATATGTAAGGCTATCATGATGGTATACATGAGGGGGCACCCGTGTAAGGCTGGAGTTCAGTTCATCAGCTTAACTCTGCACAGATCATGAGATCCTCTCTGCTGAGAAGCTTAAGTAGACATGATTTCAGAAACCCATGGAATTTCTCTAGTATTTAGTATTTAAAGTAATATGTTTAATCTAGCGATGGTTTTATTAAAATGTGTATTTTAAGGCAAAGTTAAAATTACTTTCAAAAGTTTTTTAATCTCTGAAAGAATCCAGTATAAATTTTTGTAGTTTTACATTTGTATCTTTTTTCCTACTCACGGTTTAGCCGAAGTGAAGAAACTAACATTGTGATGGCTGCTCTTCTGTCCTTTGCCTCGCTTTAAAATAACTGTTTTCCCTTTGAACTAAATAATTTTAGCCAGCAATTTTTTAAAGTAGATTATTTTAGGAAATGTTTATATTCTTGTTGAATTTTTAAAGCAAAGTAAGTTTTAGATTAAAGTTCAAATGGTAATTGGAATAAGACATAAACTAGCTCATGGCAATTGGGTAAATATAACTTGATGTTACCATTAATCTGCACAGGTAAGAACTGATATTTAAAATGTTCTATTAACTGTGTTGCTTGTGGTAGAAAAGGTAGTGCTTTATGTGATGTGTTATGAAATCCATGTGATATCCTAGTTTGTCTACTGACACTGGGGTCTTGAATCTTAAAAAAAGGCCTCCGATGAAGCAGAGGAAGGTGGATCCCAGGGGAAATTGGTGGAAGCTCTCAGGCAAATGAGAGTTAACCATAGGGGAAACTACCGACAACTTCTGGAGGAGATGCTGACTAGTTACAGGCTAGCTAAAGTAGAGGGAGAAGAAAGCCCGGCTGACCCAGCTGCTGCATCTGCTTCTTCGAACAGTGATGCTGGAAACCCAGTGGCAATGCAGGAAAGACACACTGAATCAGAAAGTGGTCTTGCTGAATTAGACAGCCGTAATGAAGATGCAGGGACAAAAATGAGTGGTGAAAAAATATGACCTTTTTCGGTAATATTTTTGTGATCTTGATTTGACAGTTTTTACTTAGGAAGTATAATGTGTGCATTTATATAACTAATTTTGTTATTTGAAATCTTGGAGAACTAGTTTTCTTATATTCCTATAGCCTTGCTTTTTTAAAAGGCCTTTGCATACACCTTTATGATAGTTTAAGATTGACTATTTATAGTACTTTGAATTTAATGAAGTAATATGTCATTTCACATTGTATGCCAGAAAATAGGTTGTCGTTACTCAATTTAGTAGTTTCTTAATAGCTAGGATTAGAATTTACTGATTGGAAAGACAGCTATACATTGTGTAAAAAAAACTTGTTAATATAGAATTTTAACACTGCTTATTTTATATTCTCATACATGCATAGTTAGCTTTGTAATACATTTGTGTTTACTTATTATTTTAGTCAGAATGGCTGGTGCTGGCCTGTAACTTTTCTTTCAGAGTTGATAATCTATATGCTGTTTAATTTGTTTATATTTTACATCTCTGTAGTTTTATTTTTAGAAATTATTGAGATATACTGGATGTGTGGTTAATTTTCCTTTCTCTGTATTCTTTATGAAACATTTTTAAAGAACTGTGTATTATTGATAAAGCTTTCATTTGTATATTCTGTATAGCTTACTATACACTATACTATAAAATGTATGTCAACCAAGTGTTTAGAATGAAATTATCAGTGTTTAAGTCCAAATAAAGCATGTGATGTGGAATAATTATGCATGTTGTACTTTTTTTAGTTTTTACTTATTTTAACAATCAAGTTTGGGATACTGGAAAACTCATTAAAGTTCATTTATAGTCCTATTAATTTGGCACACTTCAGCTCAACTGTTTTTCATCAACAAAAAAGAAAAAAATTTTAATTAAAAAAGATATGTCTTGCTTACTCACAAAGCACTCATCTTCAGGCACATGTAGCTATCTGAGAAAGTTATCCCACAAGCATTCGTTGTAAGTATTCATCAGGTATTAACAAGTGTAAGAATCCTAAGCTATTTTAAAAATAGATTTTGAGTTTTTGCCTTTCTTAAAATAGATATTTTAAATGAAGAGTGGTATAAGTACTCAAGAAAATTTTAAATTTTTTGGTTTTGGAGTTTTGTTGTTGTGGGGTTTTTTTTTGTTTGTTTGTTTGTTTGTTTTTGGTTGGTTGGTTTTTTTTGCTGTACATTAACTTATATTTATATATTATGTGTTTCAAATTGCTTAAGGAACCATAATTTAAAAGTTGGGAATCTTCAGATGTTGTAGCTGATATTTTTTGTTTTGATACATTTTTTCCCAAGACAGAATATTTTAAAGTGTTTTTGAGAAAGGAAGGCCAGTAGGCGGCAAGGGAGGGAGAACACCTCAGCTGCTGTCTATGTTACATACACGTGTATGCACACATTATACAGTACACACACCTCTCTGGTAAAATGCCCTTTTCAAACGAAGGAAGGAAGGTAATTTGTTCACCTGAATTTGTTTTCTTTTGAAATTCACTCCACCTTGGAAGTAGTACAGGTACATAATAACAATATTCTTCCTTTTCTCTTCTTGTAGGGCGCTGGAGATCTAGAAGACTCATTGGTAGCCTTATAACCTTCTAAAATGCTTTTGATTCTGAAAATTGGGGGAAAACTTTTATTCACACTTTCTTCAATACAAGGGAAAATATTCTTGTGGATTACCACTGTTTTGTGATATGAGCAGAAAACCATTAGCATTTCCTATCATTTGTTCATATTTGTATTTCCTAGTATTTCCCACTCAAAGCATTGCCTGTACTCTACAGTGTTTTTTGCCTACCTAGGCATCTGGTTACAACTGTATTGAATTTTTGACCCTAGAGGAAAAAATGGAAATATCTTACCACAAATCAACAAATACGCCTGAGGTGCATGGGAATATAGGTAGCTATACTCTGAAGATACAGTACGAGATTTTTTTTTTCTTAAAGCAAAACAAAACACAACATATAAGCATGTAAGAATAAAGAATTGTAAGAAAAGTTCTGATTTTTCAGTGTACCAAGTTGGAAACCTTTTGTAGTTCTATGGCTTGGAATTTCATTTGAGCAATTTACTATAGGCTATGTTATTTATTATTGTTATTTAAATTTTTTCCAATTTACTTGTATTACCAAACTGGGTTCTCCAGTAATGTTCACGTTGTAATGTTGCCTTGTTTTAAGATAAGGTGTTTGGCAATAGTGTAAGCCCTTAGAAATTTTATGCATGTGTCTACTCCATCCTTCAACTCTTATTAGAATATATTTGAAACCAAATGAATTAATTTATGGCTATTTATAATTTGCTTTTTCATCTTCCTACGAATTATTTTAATTGAGATTTGCTTTTATAGTGTAAATTGTGATTTTCTTTTTGTTTTATATGTGGATTTCTGTAGTTTTAATTTTTTTCAGTTTTCAAGATACAAGTTTTATGTAATTTGGTATAATTTTTAACTGTTCATGTTATTTTTAAAGCTTAGAATATCACATCAAAATACTATAAATACATTTAAAAGTATCTATTTTAGATCTAAGGAAATACAGAGATATTTTCATGGGTTTAGTAATCTTTCATTTTATAGCATTTGGCACGGTACAGAGTGGATGTCACATAGGTACTTAATTTCTGAATTCTTGTTTTTTTTTTTTTTAAGTTTTGCATGTATTAAATTCAGTGCTGAACATGAAGAGTAAAATATTTATCAAAAGGAGGTTTCTGGAGTTCCAAAAAGTAATGAATGTAGATGCTTTGTAAACATATTCCTATATGTTTTAATTGTGTTCCAGCAGGTTGTAGTTGCCCTTGTGTGTAGTTAAAAATGAGTCATTATCTGGTCCTATGTGAAATGGAACTCACGGTATTTCTACTGTGTTGCTTTCCTAAGGCTGTTTCTGGGGAGCCACATATTTGAATATAGACAGCTTTCCTGATCACTTGATTTTTTTTTTTTTTTTTTGTGCACCTGATTTTTGCTCTAAAAGGAATTACTGCCACAAGATATTTTATTTATTCTTTAGATTTTAGCCTTGTAAGTTAAAGTGCTTTACATGATGGTGTTAAAAGCTACTTGTCTCTTTATCGGAGTTTGGGGGGTTGTTAAAAAGATGGGGAATGAAGAATTTATTGTTTAACCTGTCCACTCTGATCTGACCCTGTACTGATAGTACCTTTCCAGTATGGTATTGTGATGTTTCATACTATGCAGTGAGCAGAACCACCTTGTTACCTAAATAAAGAATCGATTTTAAATCAGTGTGATATATTACTCTTTGGTGTGACTTTCAGAAATAAAAATGCAACTTTGGTTATTGGTTTTAAATATGTACATTGGCATACTTGTGAAAATATTGATATGAACATAGATGAATTCTAATTCTAAAGAGGTATCAGCCAGACCATGTAAGACAGTACTACACTCTCCTCTGCTCTAAAGTCACCTGTTAATACTACTTGAGAAAAACAACTCTTGAAGTAGAAATACTGTGTGTTTATAACCTCACAAGTGAAATCCATGTTTAATGTTTGTTTATTCTTGTGAACTTTGCGGTCTGGTTATGTACAAAATTTGATCTCAGGACCCACTTGTAATTTTCAATATCCCAAAGAACTTTTGGTTTTTTGGATTCTATTGATATTTATTGCATTAGAATTTAAAGCAGGCATTTTTGTCTGTAACTTTAAAACCTCATGCTAGCAAACATAACGTAGGTTTATGAAAATTAATTTGTCAAATGAAAACAAAAAAGACAAAATGTGTCACTAATTTTCATTTTCAGCATTGGGCTGGATTTTTCTGTTTTTATGCCTTTTTTCTTTTGCATACAGTTGGTCACATTTTGACATGCTTGTTGAAATCTCGCCTTACACAGACCTAGCTAAGAAAGAATGTGAAGTTGAAAGCCTTTCTTTTGAGAAGATTATGTGTGTACTGTTAATGTGAAGTCATTTGGGTGTGTCTCCTGTTTTAGTCAGATTTCTACCTGTGCATATTTGGAAAATACTAGTTCGCTGAATTGCATAATTCTTTTGAGTGCTGAAATTTGTATTATTTAGTGGTTAAAATTTATTTGTCAATAAAGTTGATTTTTTTTTTTAAGTATGGAGAAGCTATCAAGTTCATTGAGATGGGAAGGGATTTTTCAGAATTTTTATAGTCTTTTGAAAGGTGAAATTTTATCATTGGCAACAAATAACTGTCAGTTTTCCTTAAGTGACGTGTTTGCTTCTTCTATTGTGGAGGAAATGTCTCCAGAATAATCATAGCCTGTCAGTCATTCTTTCACATTAATAAGGGTTTTTTGTTTTTGTTTTTCTCATGAAAAGTGGCTATCTAGTTTAGTAGTTCAGGACACAGGACTAACCATTTCATCACACAAGATTTTAAAAAGATACACACTTAAAAATAGAAGTTATTTTGTTTTTAGGTGATCTTGTTAGGTAGCCTAGATTGGCCCCAAATTTAGCCTCCTCCCCATACCCTATGCTGTAATTACAGACATGTGCCATTATACTAGTCAGTTGGAAAAAGCATAACTTTTAATCTAAATAGTTTTTTGCTTTTGTGTTATGTAGTTGTTGTTATATAGATCTTGCGACAAGATCTCAATGTAGTCCAGGCTGGTCTCAAACCTGTAATCTTTTTGCCTCAGCCTCCCAAGTATTTGAGATTACGGGCATAAAACGCCATACCAAGCCACATTAATGTATTTTGAAGTTATGCTAGTTAAAGAAGAAGGTATTTGCTAGATTTGGTGGAGGGAGCTGACTGGTGTTTAGGAACTAGGTGATCCCTAGGTATGCAGAAAATGCCTTGTAGTTCAGTGGTAGACCCTGTGGTGATCATTAGCACTGGGATTTAAGTGATTTTATTTCAGTGTCTATGGGCTTTTCTCCCATTCTACTTTTGGAGTTGTTGTTTTTTTTTTTTTTGTTTGTTTGTTTGTTTGTGCCCACAAGAAAAGACGAGGTAAGCATTTTGGTTTTTTTGTTATTTGCTTTTATATACTGTCTTCAGTGTGACAACAAAGACCTGTACTGCTTGCTTACTCCTTTAGCTAGTGCTCAGTTTTTGTGTCCCTGCCTTCTTTTTGATGATTTGTTTATGTCAGTGTGATATAGATATAAGCTCACACTTTCCCAAGTGTGTTAAAACATCCACAAAATGTTTCATGGGTACACATTCTTACAGAGTGCTTCTGCTTTTTCCTATTTGAGTCTCACTATGTAGCCCTGGCTGGCCTCAAACTAGAGATCCACTTTCTTCTCTTTGCTGAAAGTTAGCATTAAAGTGAATAAAGACCTATTAAGAAAGTAGTTATGACTATGCAATGAAACTAGATGGTTACTCTCATAAGAAAGACACTTGGGAAAAGCACTTGCTTGAATTGTGAGCTGTCCCTGATTTGCCTGATTGTTTCTTGTGATTTACTTGTACATAGAAGTGTTGAAAGAAGAGCGGAGTTCTTGAAAGTGATGATCACACGCCATCACTGCTGGGCTTGGTAGTGTTTGAATTCAGCTTGAGCTACATAGTTGAGACTCTGTGTCAAACACAGAACCGTTTCCTTCCCCGTAGATCCACCCACCATGTCTTGTTTATATATATTATGGAGAGGAAATAGTAAGAAATAGTGCTTCCTAGCCTCAGGTTTAAATGTTTGCTTCTTCTATGTCCTCCTTTTCTAGAAAGTGAGTGGTTAAGTAGCAGTAAACACAGGCCTATACTGCTTAGTTTTGTGACTGTACCAGTGTATTTAGCACCTTGCCCATTCAAGTAACAGTTACTTGCAGCATCCTGAAATGTGCGGTGACAGGCATCCTATGTATGCCCTTTGAGCATGTGCTAATATTGTTCTAGATTGGTGCTTCTAGAAGTAAGATGACTGGGTCATTGGGCATTCACCTCTCCAAGTTGGTGCCAGGCATGATACTAAAGACACAGAGATAGGTACCGCAGCCTCGGAATGTCTCTACCCCACCCTGTCCTCATCCGGTCTCAGGATTGTGCAGCTTGTTGCCAGTGAGCCAGATAATTCTGCAGAACCTCATGCAGTTTGGGTTTCTCATAACATGAAAATATGGGTCGGCCTTCTCAGTTTCTTCTCGAATTCAGTTCTTGCATTTTTCACGCTATTGTTCTTTTGAGTCAACGTCTTCCGTTTGCCTTTTTAATATGGTTACTAATCTTTGTTCTGTGAGCTCAAACTCTTCCGGTCTTTTTCTTTGTCTATTACTTTGTGCATTGAATCTCTTATTTAACATTTTCCTTTATAGTTTCTGTGAAATAATCCCACGTGTAACTTCTAATGTTTTGTTTGTTTTTTATGTTTTTATTGTTTGGTTGGGTTTTTGTTTGTTGAGGCATAGTTTTACTTTGTGGGTCTAGAACTGAACTTTGTAGCCCAGGCTATTGTCAAGCTCCTAACAGTTCTTAGCCCTCCCAAGTGCTGGGGATATGTAGACTGCTTGCCGAGCTCTTGAATATTGCATAGTTTTAACACATAAGCTTTCAGAGATACACTCTGTGACAAGAATGGGCAGCCTGTACTCCCTGTGGTCAGGGCTTCACTCCATGTGTCACTGTTGCTCTAGTCAGCCTTGGGTACCACAATGAGAAAGTGGATTGTAGAAGGACATGTAGCTGTTGTGTTTACCCAGCCGTATGTGGGCATTTCTGTTGCCTTTTGTCTAAACTTGTACAAACACCACACTGTTGGTTACTAAAGCTTCGAGGGCCAGTTCCTGGCAGCATGTGTTGTCTCCATTTTACTTGAATTTAGTTCTTCATAAAGATGGAATTAATTTGTATTCTCTCTTAATAGGTCCATTTTTAATCTAAAAATGGGTACTTTAAGATAACTATGTTTCTCTTGTATATGTTATTTTGTGTGTATATGTGTATGGGCTTGCATGCCACAGAATACACAAGGAAATCAGGACAGCATGCAGAAGCAAGTTTTCTTCTTTTACCATGTGGGTCCCAGGATCAAACTCAAGTTGTCAGTCTTAAGCTTCTGTTTACCTGCTGAGCCATTTTGCCAGCCCCTCTGTTGTGCATTTTTGAGCTGTAGTGTGCTATATTACTCACTCAACTTTATCTACCCCTGGACCCCTTTTTTTTCCTGATGCAGGCTCAGCAGTAATTCCATGCCAGGCTGTGTTAAAACCTGGGGCAAAGGGGAAATTCAGTCTTAATAATTATTCAAAGTTCTGACTTTTTATTATACTTTTAAAAACTATCCCTATTAATGCATTGAATTCCCACCCCTTGTCTTCAGGTCAAGTGTTCCACCTAACTGCAGTTGATACATACGTCAGTTCCTTTGAAGTGACTTTCTCTAGACTTTTCTAATTTAAGGCAGATGTTACCAAGGAAGAATAACTCTGTAGTACACTAATATCTCCAGCACTGACCTTGAGTAGCTGAGAGGAGTTAGGGCTGGGTTAAAGCAGTCAGAATGCTGTGCTTCTCCAGATTGTAGAGGGCTGGTGAGGTGAGAGAAACATGTTATTAAATGGTATCTTTTATTTAAAAGCTTAAATTTAATACAAGCTTTTTTTTTTTTTAAGTATTCTATAATCTGAATTTTTGAAGCATCGTCTGTTAGTAGCATTTTAACTGTCATTGGCAAAGCTGTCATGGCATAATGGTACAGTGCTTACTTGGCCAGGCTTGTTTTTACTCTAGTTCATAACTGTGCTATTGACTGTTCGGACTACATTTATTACAGTCAAGAACTGTTTAAAATTATTCCTGGAGGACTACCATGATTTAGCATGTAAGGGAAAGTCTAAGGCGTGGAAAACACCTACAATAGTATGAAGTGAATTTTAGTAAAGCCTTGTTCTGTGGTTGATTTGTCATTATTCTTTATGATGCACAACAAGAGAATACGTGCAGTCTTAGCATTGAAGTATATGTGCAGCCTCTGGGTATATTATGTGGACATTAAAACAGTACATAACTACAAAAGCAGTGCATGTGAACTTTAGAAGACTGGCTACTTTGCTTGAGACAGACTTGCTGTGTATCTTTAACCTGTACCTCAGTCTCCAGTGTTTTGGAATTTAAGGCGTATGCCACCAGACCCAGCTAGAAGAGTGATTACTCCTTGAAAGGCATTGGGGGAAAATAAGGTTTTAATTTTTCCAGTATATATATATATATATATATATATATATATATATATATATATATATGAAGTTGTTAAAACATTTAACACCTATGAGATTTTGGTAGCAATTATAAA